TCATTTGGGTCTGAACCAGCTGACATTAACTTGCACTGACAAGGGGCAGGCTTGTTTTCTAATTACTGAGAGAGTTCAGCTGGTGTCTTGGCTTTCCATGCTTTTTTACACCTCCCTTTCTTCATGTGTTCAATACTTTTTCCCTGTGCCATTCCTCATTATTACAAATAACTTCATTTCTGGACATTTATGGTTTGATTTCTTTGTATGTATGGATCACTTGGGTTGCTACCGACAACTGGTGGAAATTTCATGTCATTAGCACCTCTGGTAATATATTTACTGAGAAAAATGTTGACGTGTTCAATACTTATTTTACCYGCTGTATCTTAATGTAAGGCAAAAAAGCCCAAAGTTCACACTAATTGCTRACAAAGTGTCATATACTGGTGTATTATTGCACAACAGAAAACTTTTATCACCGTGTTTTATTATAGTTTACTTAGACTGCACAGTGGTTTTGTTTCGCTTGTTGTTTGTGAGTTCTGTGGTCCTGCATGGTGTAAACGTTGTTGTTTTGTTTTCTGAAGGTGTCGAGTGTGGAGGTGGTGCAGGCCTACATAGACCGGATCCAAGAAGTGAACCCCTTCCTGAACGCTGTTGTAAAAGACAGGTTAGACCTCTAATCTTTATCCTTCCTTGTTATGATCTTTGGGCTGCGTTTTGTACTTTTTGTTTGTCATATTTGCAAAGTTAATGATGTAGCATTTTCCTTCATATAAATGATCATTTCTGATTAGATTTCACTTGTTCCTATGACAACGGCTCAGGATGGAAGAAAAACCTCCATTTTGACTTCAGACTATTTTCTAAAAACTTTTGCATGGAACTTCCTTTGTGGCTCGAATTAACATCTCTAACACAAACCCCCACCAGACGTCCTGATGCCTTACTGTTAATAGATAAGAACTGCCACATTCCTGTTCCGAACCCCACAAGTTCTGTTGCTTCCATCCCCCATAAGCACAGGACTGTCTGCTTGCTCCTCTTCAAAGGGATCATAAATGCCTTTAACCAGACTCTTCAGCTACTGAGAACAAAGGACCTACATTCTTCATTAAATGTGAAAAAAAGGATAAAAGATAAAGGAATCTGTGTCTCTAATGTTTTCTGTCTTATTGCAAAGAATGTTATCTAATCCATTTTTCTTTCAGGAAAGAACAAAACCCTTTGAAGCTCTACTATGTTCTATTTTTAACTGTTTGCCCACTAAGGACTCTGTGTGGTAACTGAGTGGTGTTAATTGTTTTGATGAAATGTTTTCCTGAAGATGTATGTTTTATTCCATGATTTAATCCTTAGAAACTTAGGACTTCTTTAATCTTTAATAATTAAGTGTGACATATTTTACTGAGGCAAGCAGATGTCTCTCCCTTTTAATTAGATGCAAGATAATTAAACTAAAACACTCCCTTTTTCTTTGTCCTGAAGTAAAGTTTTCCCTCCAAAACGGATTTGATTTGTTAAAAACTTTTCCTATATAAGGTGTAACATTTTTATTGGCCAACTAAAACCTTGACTCCGCCCATAACAGAGGTTTTAAAAGTTAGTGCAGCTCCCGACAGGAAGAAGAAGAAGACCAAACAGAAGAAGACCGACAGAGAAAGAGAGTTTTTCAACATCAGAAGTCAGAAACAGTTTTCCAGAAGCTCAGCAGAGGCCCTGCCTGCCAGCCCCTCCCCATGGGCTGGGCAGGATGGTGGCCCTTCTGCATCTCCCGCTGGGTTGAACAAACAGCCAACGTTTAATATCGACTCAACATCTGAGTTTGATTTTATAGAAAAATAAACTAATTGTAATTCATGCATCGTTTTTAGTTCGTTTTTCTCTACAAAGTTGAAATCAAATTAAGAAGTCTTGCAGCCGCCTGGGAGGACCGGACCCCGTTGTCACCAGCTCACCACCTACCTTTCTGACTGAAGGGCCAGCAGCTGAACAGACACCCTGAGTGTCCGACCGGCCATTACACTGAAGCAGTTCTTTGGGGAATATCACCTGAGATCCTTCGGTCAGCCGACAACTACTTCTGGTACCGCAATCAGCAGAACAAAAGGGTAAAAGTGAACATTTGTCCTGGTGACAAACAGGTGCTCAGACTTAATTTGATTCTTATCTTTGTATGAGATTTGGTAAACTAAACAATTTTTCTCCCTAATTTAACTAGGACACCCTTAGTTAAATCCTCAGCTAAAAGCAAAACTCACCTCACTCCAAACCTCAAACTCACCTCTCAGTGTTTATTTTATTTATTTATTTGTTTGTTTGTTTATTTACTTGTGATTGCAAACTCTGTCAGTTTTACCTGGTTCAACATGTCACCACTCATTACTCACCATAGTTGTGAATACATTTAATCTGTAAATAAATGGCCCGTGGAGAACGTGCCAACATTATTTAATGTCACTTTTGTGTCTTGATAAAGTATTATTGGTTCTGATAAGGACAAGAACTCAAACGATTTTGGGTACATTTATTGTGAGACTGATTACAATAAAGTTATAGGTTTTTGTCTCTTTCCTGGGTTAGATTTTGATCAAATTAAGAGCGTGGTGCCTCGAGGTCAGATAATTTTTGTATTTAAATAATTCACAAATTATCCATTTTAGAATATACCCAAAACCCCTACAATGATATTTGTTTCACATTATAAGTGATTACAAATATTTTTATATTTTGCTTTTTAAATTGGTATATTTTGCTCAATTGAATCATTGAGAAAAATTTGATTTAACATCTATTTTTATATTAAATAAAGAAAAATAAGGATTTTTTTTAAATTTCAGGCTATTTTATGTATCCTGATTTCTGGGAAAAATAAAAAATCTGCACTCTCCACACCTCACTGCCCCGCACTAAGAGGAGCATGTCCCATTATTGGAGAAGCACTGCAGTATTATAGTTCACTCTTACTGCGATAAAACATTTTTATTTTAAAGTGTAAACGAAGTCCAGAAACAGTATTTTTTAAAAAGATAGTCATTGTTTTGATATAACTGGTCTCAGTTATTGTTTTCACTTCACTGTCTAACTCTGACACCAAACATTGGAAAAAAAATGAGTTTACAAAAAGTCATTTATTCCGCTTGCAATATCCACTCTAAATACTTTTAAATAATAAAAATATTGTAATTGATTTGAACAGTCTTTTATGTGTTTTTGTGTGTATTTGAGTGTGTTTATGCAAGCATGCTGTTGTTAGACCCCTGTCAAAGAAAAATTTCTGTCACCATCTGGGACAGACAATAAAGTTATTCTATTCTATTGAAAAAACTAGTTTTAAAAAGCGTTTTGTTGTTGTCCAGGTTTGCTGCTGCCCTCCAGGAGGCAGCTCAGGTCGATAAGCTGATTGAGGAGGAGACGGGAGGAGAGGAGGTGTTGGAGGACCGGCTGCCTTTGCTGGGAGTTCCACTGTCGGTCAAAGAGTCCTTTTCTCTTCAGGGTAACGTTCCTGAAACCCGATTTCCCCTTTCTGCCACTTGGGTTCCATCCGATCGGTCTGTTTGAGTGGACATGTGATACGTTTATAGAGCTCCACACCCTGCAACAAACAAGCTTCTGTATCTGTTCTGTCACACGGTGTCTGTCTGTGTGAGCACTGTGGAACCGGGAGTTTCAGATCGCTCAGATTCCTCGTGGCGCCTGACGTGTTTTTGTTTCGCAGGCATGCCCTTCACCGCGGGCCTGATGTCCAGGCGGGGGGTGGTGGCCTCTGTGGACGCCCCGCCCGTGGCCCTGCTGAAACGAGCGGGGGCCGTGCCTTTGGGCGTCACCAACACCAGCGAGCTCTGCATGTGGTCGGAGTCGCACAACCACCTGTACGGCATCACCTGCAACCCGTACGACCTGGAGAGGATCCCAGGAGGAAGCTCAGGTGAGCCGGTGCTGCCGGGAGTCGAAAAGCTTCTGCTTGTTGTAAATACAACTTACGCTGGGAGAAACCATTTCATTCTGGATGGATTGACCAGCTAAACTTTAGTTTTAGTAGGACAAAGTGGATTGCTTTCATCTTAAAACAACAAAATTTCATAGAAAATCTACCGTATTTATGTGTGTACAATGAGACCCCTCATTTTATGAGCTTAAAAAATAAATAAATAAATTGAACCCTGGTGTTTTGGGGACACATTGAGGGTGTTTGTGGAGGTGAGTTTCTGCACGTCGCTGAAAATGATCTGCTACCAAGAGCCGGTCGCTAAATTAGCAAAATGGACAGTTTCCAGGAGCATCTCGTCCAGTCCAATTGAAAACAGGAACATTCCACTGACGTCTAAGTTTTCTTTCCATTTCTGCGGTTAACAAGAACAAAAACATGTTTTTCCTCCTCCTACTGTTGTTTATACAGTTCACTGTGTGCAGCAGTGGGAGGGCAGAGGCAGATATTATAAGTAGTGTAACAAAATATTGATACACTGAAATATTGCGATATTTCATTTTCTGGTACTGTATTGTATCAGACGCCTTGAGACCAGAAGGTCGCAGGTTCGATCCCCTGCCAAGCCCACATGTTGTGGTGTCCCTAAACTCTATGGGTTCTTACATAGCATGGGTATATCTCATGTTTGATGGGCCAAATACAGAGCAGATGGGAACATGCATTGATGACAATGCATAGCTGCTTATTATTATTGTTGTTGTTGTTGTTGTTGTTGTTGTTGTTGTTGTTGTTGTTGTTGTTGTTATTATTATTGTAATTTAGCCTCCAGCCAGTAGTTAGCAGCAGTCAGCCATTTGGCTCCTCTACTCCTGAGGAGTCTGAGATTACAATAGTCTATATGCCACGGACATCCGGTCCAACACATGATGCCACTCTGATCACTTCCGGTTCACGGTCAATACAGCGTTAGTGAAAATTTTTTTCACCTGACAACGACTCTTAATGATCTCCACAGTACAGAATTAGCAAATGACATGTACCAACATTAACACAAGAGATGTACAGGTCCAGCCAAGTGGGAAAAAAATCACTCCAAAGTGGATTAAAGCCATAAAAAAAAATTAAAGACGTTCGTGTTTATGGTTCCAGAATTTAGCCTTTTTCGCTATTCCTTGGCTGCTTGTTCTATGAATTTTTCACGTAGAGCTGTGACACATATTGTTGGAAAGAGCAGAGTCTGGGCTTTAAATTGATGGATTACTTGTTTGGTTTGGATCATTTTCCCTGATGTTGGTGAACTGAAAATGTAATGATTATCAGGCGGAGGTTCTGCGTCTCTTGGGGGGAGGGGGGGGGCGCTCGTCGTTCGGGTTTTATTTGCGCTGTAATATACACTCTAACAAATTTTTACTTTTGCATAAAACTCATGAAAAAGTTGCCTAAAAACATTTCATACTCTATATAACACAAACACACGCACACACCTTCCTTTGTACTGGCTGCTTTGTTAGCTTCCTGCTAGCTGTCGTGTGGAGGAGGTCTTTCCTCTCCCGGTCTTGCAGTAAAAGGGGATAAATGTACATTTCCCTTTTGTAACCTCCGTCTTCTCATTTCTGATGCTGGCTCTTGAATATCCTCAGGTTAGAAATGCCGATTACAAATGCAGGCGTGAGCTTATAGCTAAGTTTTCCCTGTAATTGTCACCTTTCCTCCTCATCAAGAGGAAAATGGATAAAAACCAACTACTCTCTTTGACCCGCTGGTTCGTGGACACAACGGCACACAACAGAACTCGCATTTTATACCAGTAGCTCACAGACGCTTTAACTTTTGTGACTTTTTCACGGACTAGTACTAGGAGCTCATGCTAAAAACAACGGCAGTAGGCAGGAAGTGGAAGAGATGTGCATGGCAAGAATTTTACCGTAAATACGTCATTAATGACCGTGGCGTATAGGCAATCCTAGGCTACGTTCACACTGCAGGTCTTAATGCTCAGTTCCGATTTTTTGAAAAAATCTGATCTTTTTGTGTGAACGTTCACATTACATTTTAAATGTGA